GGTCTGTCTTTGATAAAAAATACAACACAACTATTTTTGCCATAAAAATCATTTTTGTTAACTAATATTGATGGGCACATTAATCTCGAGGCATTTATAAATCCGATTCAGTAGACATAGGAGAAGAAGAAAATTCATTGATAACAAATAATTCAACACGTTGCTATTGGCAATAAAAATCATTTGTGCTTACGAATATTGATGAGCACATAATTTTCCATGCATTTTTCGACTACTCCGCCCAACCAAAATTCCCGTTATGGCGTTTAATTGGTTTCGACGCTTTTCCCCCCTCATTTTCCGCTACCCCAGCACAGCAAAAAATTTTTGGATACCAAAAAAAAAGCACATAAAGAGCACATAATTTAAGTGATTTCAAAATGGCCGCCAAACCACTCGATTTCGCAAAATTTACGGAGGTACAAGTTGAAATGGTCAAGAAAATAACCCTCGTCCAAAAATTGACCTGTTTACCTGTTTTTTTTTTCATAAAAACTTGTAATCACGCTAGCTTGTGTAAAAATTAAGATATCAACTTGAAATTTGGACAGAAAAAATGTTTTCATGTCTCTGCGCGACAAATTCACTTTTTCCGCGCAGGTTAGGTTTTTCGCGGGCGTGAATTTGCCACACAGAAGCATGAAAAATATCGTACAAGCTTGACCTGTAATATACTATTCCCCGTTCATACGAAGACTTCGAAACATTGGAATTTTTATGGCACCCATGGAGATGGCAGTAAACACCTGAAATTTGTGCTGCTAACACAAATATGTTAACATATGTTAACACATTTTTGGTCAGCAATCTATTTCACCAAGTATATGCTAGATTTAGGAATATTTCAAGTTTATCTTAGCTTATGAATAGAAAATACTAATTTATATATTTATAAAATATATAAAATAATAATGCATTATATATATTATTCATGTATTATATTAAATATACATAACATAATACATAAATAATTAATTAGTAATTGTAATTATTAATAATATTAAACAATAATAATTGTTGTTAATAACAATATTACCATCATTGTATGCATTGTATATATAAATAAGTATTTTTTATTCATAAGCTAAGACAAACTTGAAATATTCCTAAGTCTAGCTTAGGTTTGGCGAAATAGATTGCTGACCGATAATGTTTCACCTATTTTTTAATTTTTCATTATTCATTATCATAGAGGATTTATAAAGGATTGACATGAAAATTGGTGGATTGTTCTTCGTAAAAGTTTACGTTTTCACACTTAAAAAAAGGGACCGATTTCACAGTTAGATGCACCTAATTTCATAAACTTTACAACATGAATTTCTTTGTGAAAATTTTCAAAGATCATTTCTCAAAATTTGAACATAATAAAAGCGGACATCAACTCATTTTTAATGAATAACTGAATACATAATGATAAAAAATAATATGCAGAAATCTCTAATGATTTGAGCGCGAAGCGCGCCCCCTTTCCTAGTATTTCGAAATTGTGTACAAAAAACTCAAAAAATTTACCTCCAATATCAGCATAAGTCTCCTGAGGTGCCTTCTCCAGCTTCATAACCGTAACCATGGGATCAGTGTCATCCCCAAGGACCCCCACAACAGCATGAACCTTGTGATTAAGCAGAACAGAACACCCTGGCTCTAGCTGGTCCTTATCCACGAACGATAGAATGGATACATAGTGTTCAGACCCAACAGACGTCGAGACAATGGCATGGTTGTCATCGATGATCTCCTCGAGAGTTCCCACAGACATGGGGGTGCCCCTCAGGTCGTCGACCTTGGACCTCTCCTCCTCGTTCTTCTCCTCTTGGGGCTTGAGCCTTTCTTGGTTCCTGATGAACTCCTCCTCCATGAGGAGATAGTCCTTTATTCTCTCTAGCTTTAGGAGCTTCAATCTGCATCTGGTGTGTGGAGTCACTTGTGGCAGCTTCAAAGCCACGTCTGGACCCTTTGTTCGGCGCTTCTTCTTGCCCACGCGAGTAGGAATCGGGGGCTCGTACTTCTTTTTCTTGTCTTTGTCATCTTTTTTATCACCTGTACCGCCTGCTCCAGACTGATTCTGACCCTGGATTTTTGTTTGTTTAATTTAGTTTGTGGAGTAACTTGAAGAAATTTCTGTAGAATGGACGGATCTAAATCGTCAATTTTCATTTTCATTTTGAAGGTTTTTTATAAATTTTGTAATAAGCCCTGATTTTTTAAATCTTATCTTCTCAGAAGTTTTAGTTACATTACTGTCTAATAAGTTTGCCAATTTCATTATAAAAATAAATTGATATTCAATTCTTGCAGTATTACAAGCATAATTATCTTTTAAAATTATTTTATTGAATAGCTCCAACATTTTATAGTAATTTTTCATTTAATTCAATTTGAGAAATAGCTTCAGACCACTTTTTTCGTGTTGAACGTTTCGTTTTTAATTCTAATTCATGGAAGAAGTGGAGGGTAACATGATGGTTTCTGATTACCAATATCTAGAGATCAGCAAAGTGAAATCGTATGTGTCTTTTATTTTGAAGGTTTTTTATAGATTTTACAATGAGTTCTGATTTTTGTTATTGTAACATTCGGTGGAGAGATATTAAAGATTTAAGAAGTCCGTTTTTACACCACTGTCTTCATGGTTCGACGATTTCATCATAAAAATAAATTGATATACAGTTCTTGCAGGATTTCAATTAGTAATTAATCAATTCTTAACATGTAATACTTTTTACATTTAATTCAATTTGAGAATTAGCTTCAGGCTACTTTTATGTTGGATATTTCATTTTTCATTCAAATTCATCGAAGACGAATGGTTTTCGATCATCAGTATTTATATTGAATTAAAAAAAAATTGTTTTTCATTTTGAAAGATTTTTTTCGGGACTTTGAAAGGAGACCTGGCCTCTTTAATTGTATCATTTGGTGGAGAGATATTACTGAGGATTAAGATCTATTTCACTTCACATTTTCCTGTTCATACGATTCCATCATAAAAATGAATTGATAAAAAAATTCTCGTAGAGTTGCAAGTATTCATAACTTTTTCAATCACTTGTGTGAATAATGAGCAATATTCATCGTACAATATAAGAGTACAATGTTGGTTGTTTAATTAAAGAATTAAAATTTGAAGGACAATTATTTTCAATGGAGAAGTAATGACGAACGACTATGATTAATTAATAAAGAATTATTTATATCGTTTCGTTATGTACGCTTTGTTAACAATTCATTAAATTGTTTGGGAAATTATACATGTGTCCGATAACCTCTGAAACGTTCAATCGATTCAGTCCTTTAAAAAATGAAGTTCCAGTTGGAATTGTGGAGATATAAAAAAGCATGATGCAGGGAAATTGATCGATTATTTATTATTATTCGATTACTTATTTTAACATGTGTACTTTTATCTGGACTTACCATTTCCTTTTCAGAGTTTTTGACAGTCAGAAATCACAAGTCACTCAGCCGAAGCCAAAGAGGAATGACTAAAGTAGAGGCTCAGATCTCGGGGTTCAAGTGACCCCAAGCGAAAAATAGTAGGACCCCAACGGAGGGATGGCGCCACGGTCGAATCTGACGGCTGGGCGACCCAAGCAAAGATAATAGGGGAGATTGCTCAGGCTTATGGGAACTGTTCGATCAGAGTTACATAGCGATGGCGCGCATGAACTAATCGAGAGGCCGTCCCTGTGGGTAAAGAAATTTACATCTATTACCATGGAAACAGTCGATAACAGGGATGCGTTCCCAATCTTAAATCCAACATGAAACCTCCTTTGCATTCACTCATCCGCTTGATTATCCCATTTTCGTTCATACAACTTCTTATTGTCTTAATTTGTAAATTAGTTGATCATAAAGGAGAGGGAGAGAAGGAATTATGAAGTCTTGAGCGAAAGAGGATCATTTATTTGAATTTCTATACAACTAGATCTTTAATAAAAAAAAAAATACGAGCAATTCATCTTATTCACATTTATTACATATTTTGTCAGTGATACAAAGGTAATGAATGAATTTCAAATTATTTTGATGAGAAATATATTCAATATTTGTGAGAGATTATATCTCAACAAATCTCATACACATAATGGGATTAAATCAATAATAATAGATTAACGAATGAGACTTTTCGCAGATTATTGCGAGATTTAAATGAATGGTTTGCATTCTTCAGTGACCATAAAAAATTGTCTCCAATCGACAATATCTCCCGATGGAATGGAACGATGTGAATGAATCAATTGATACTCAAGTATCAATTTGAATCTTTAAAAAATTAATCGAGAGTGAAAAAAAATCAGGGAATTTAACTCTGCCATTATGGAGTTTTTGACGAGTGAAGTTTATTCACTGTACTCTGACATTTCTCTATTGTCTGTATTTACCGAGAAAAAAAAACGTTGTTCCTAGGAATCGATGTGTCTTTTTTAGGCAGCTGCATTTCTGAAATGCAATGAGCAAGCAATGTTAAAATTAAGTCATTTTGTAAAAAATTTCTAGTGACATGATCCTGAAAATCAAAGGAATGTCTTGAAATCAGGAATGATGTCTGTAAGTTTCAGTAATATTTTCGCAGAAATTCCGGGAACTTATTGGGAATTTTTATAGCGTTGCCGTAATACGGAAATTTCAAGGAATTTCGTCATTGCAAATTAAAAATTTCTATAAATTTCAGTCCAATTATATGTGTACGTCCACGTGAAAAGGGCCCACTTTGTCGCATCTAATTTCCGAGATATTCACGTTTTTCTCTCCTCTCCATTTATCCCAAAGTTAAATTGATTTTTTGATCTTCTATACGGACGTCACACGGAGAAAAATAAATCGGTAAAAGTCTTGTGATCGCAAGGAGTTTCCCGAAGATCCCCATTTTTCATGCACGAAGAACAATGAAGCTTTTTGGAATCTTCGGGAAATTCTATTCTATCCTACTCAAGTAGGAGCGGAGGAATGAATTTTCAAAAGTGCGGACTAACCGGAGGGGCTCCTCCGATAGGGAAATTCATTTCTCCCCCCCCCAATTACGATGAAAGAATGAAAGCAATATCTATCGATGGAGAATTATATTCTCAATAAATTACAGCGGTTTCATTGCTTAATCTTTATTAGGAGAGGAGGAATGAATTTTCAAAGCGTGCAGTAACTCCGGACAAGTTCTTCTCATTCAAAAATCAATTTCTCGCCTCCCTAATTGAGATGAAGGAATGAAACCAAAGCTTACCGATTGAGAATTATATTTTTATTAAATGACATCGGTGTCATTTCTTAATCTCAGATAGGAACGGAGGAATAAATTTTCAAAAGCGCGGAGAAACCTCGAACGGCTAGCCCGGAGGGGCTCCCCCGATTGGAAAATTCATTTCTCCCCCCCCCCCTAATTGAGAGAAGGGAATGAAACCGACGCCGATCGATCGAGAATTAAATTCTCAATGAATGACAGCGGTTTTATTCCTTAATCTCACGTAGGAGCGGAGGAATGAATTTTCAAAAGCGCAGAGTAACCCCGAACGGCTCTTCGGAGGGCCTCCCCCAATTGGAAAAGTCATTTCTCCCCCCCTAATTACGATGAAAGAATGAAAGCAATATCGATCGATGGAGAATTATGTTCTAAATAAATGACAGCGGTTTCATTGCTTAATTTCTATTAGGAGAGAAGGAATGAATTTTAAAATCGTGCAGTAACTCCGGACAAGTTCTTCTCATTCAAAAATTAATTTCTCCCCTCCCTAATTGAGATTTAGAAATGAAACCAAAGCCTACCGATCGACCATTGTATTTTTAATAAATGACATCGGTTTCATTTCTTAATCTCCGTTAGGAGCGGAGGAATGAATTTTCAAAAGCGCGGAGAAACCCCGAACGGCTCTCCGACGTCGAGTGAGCTCGGAGGGACTCCCCCGATTGGAAAATTCATTTCTCCCACCCTAATTGAGATGAAGGATTGAAGCCGATGCCGATCGATCGAGAATTAAATTCTCAATAAATGACAACGGTTTCATTCCTTAATCTCAAGTAGGAGCGGAGGAATGAATTTTCGAATGCGCGGAGAAATCCCGAATGGCTCTCCGGCGTCGAGTGAGTCCGGAGGGGTTCCCCTGATTGGATGATTCATTTCTCCCCGCCCCCCCCTCCCCCCTAATTGCGGAGAGGGGGAATGGAAGCAACATCTATCGATCGAGAATAATATTCTCAATAAATGACAGTGGTTTCATTTCTTAATCTCTATTAGGAGAGGAGGAATGAATTTTCAAAGCGCGCAGTAACTCCGAACAAGTTCTTCTCATTCAAAAATTAATTTCTCCCCTCCCTAATTGAGATGAAGTAATGAAACCAAAGCTTACCGATTGAGAATTATATTTTTAATAAATGACATCGGTGTCATTTCTTAATCTCAGTTAGGAACGGAGGAATGAATGTTCAAAACCGCGGAGAAACCCCGAACGGCTTTCCGACGTCGAGTGAGCCCGGAGGGGCTTCCCCGATTAGAAAATTCATTTTTCCCCCCCTAATGAAGATGAAGGAATGAAACCGATGCCGATCGATAGAGAATTAAATTCTCAATAAATGACGGCGGTTTCATTCCTTAATCTCAAGTAGGAGCGGAGGAATGAATTTTCAAAAGCGCGGAGAAACCCCGAACGGATCTCCGACTAGTCCAATGAACGTCGGTCTAACATACGAATGTTTGCGATACAGGCTCCATTTTTTATGGAATTTGTGATTTGGGCGTATGAAACTAATGGCGGATATTTAAGGTTCCCCAAGTTTGTGCGGGGGTTGAAAAAGCCAAAAAACTACCCCTGAAAACAGTTTTTTCGAAATAACTCGTGAATAACGCGCTGTGCGTCCAAAAACGTACTACACAAAGTTGTAGAGATCAAAATTCTACACAAAAAATGTTGAGGGCACTTTACCTCTATTGGCAACCGTTCAT